AGAACTACAAATCTTGTTGCATCTATACAGAGTGGCCTAAAAGTCATTTTACCGAGAAAAAATTGAATATCGTCGACATGTTTTGACCAAATAGGCTGATTTTTTTCTCACTGATAAAATTGTGTTCATAGTTCATATTTATAAAAAAAAAACTATTTCGAAGTATCCTCGTTGATCTAAATACAATTCGAGAGTTCTAAAAACAAAAGCCAATGTATTTCAGTAGCTAAAATTCAACGATGCAGCTAATTTTTTCGAACAATTTTCCATACAATTGTTGTTTAGTCTCATATTTAAACGAGTGGTTCATGTTTTTATTACACATTGTGTTGTTAAAGTTCCAGTTCTAAACAATGGGAATTTTATTTTAATAGTTGTACTATCTCATTTTCTATTTCATATGAATTTTTCATATAAAAAAAGCATGCATACTACTTTATCACTTGACAATGGGAAAAAGTGTTTTTCTTTTTTTTTTTCAAAAGTTTTATCATCTAGTATATTTTGCGCAAATGATGGAAAACAAGCAGAATTCATGCGTAATTTCTAGAGATGGCAGCTGATATTCTTGTAGACTGTTCATTCTTGCAAAAGATTCTATTTTTATCAAAATTTTCTTTTGCAAACCTATTTGATTAAATAGCTAAGATTTTATACAAAATATTCTACCAAAAACTACGTAATATAGATAAAAGTTGTGATATTCTACATATTTGTGTAGTTCTTTTTTAAAACAACTGGTCTATTTCCATCGAAAATAATTTAGAAATAAAAACTTCTTGAAGTTCAAAAGAAAAATTTTGCTGGAACTTTCTTTTCAGAAGTATTTTCTTTGTTGTCTTTTGCTTTTTCTCAAATTCATTTTGCAAATATATATCTATTACAAAGTTTACAGTTTAGACTTCATTTTTTCCAAAAAAAGAAAACAATTTAATTAATTTCGAAATTAACAATATAGTCTAACAGTTTTGCGTTTTTTTTTTTCGAAGATTTTTGCGTCACGTGTTATGTACTATGTAAACCTACTTATTAAAAATATCCGGAATTAGAAAATAAAACTCTGTTTAGTTGTCTCCGATGTCGATGCCTTTAACAAGCATTGTAAATCACTTCAATAAGCGTAAGATTAATGAATCAGAAAGTGGAAATAATTTCGTTTCCTTTACGGTCTCGTAGAATGCTTTCTGTAGTATCATTTTATTTCCTTTAATGTTAATAGTTAAATCCTATTCTGATTTTGAAATTAGCAAAGACAAACAGCAGAAAAATAAATGACAAATTTGAATTATTTCAATATCAAATGATAACGATGAATTATTATTTATGCAATTATCTCTATGAAAAACTACCAAATACAATAAAAATTTAACTATCAGTTTCTTTTCTTTTTCCATGAGTAATGGATTACAATTTGATATGCATATTTTAGTACTATAGTTAGAAAAACTTTTACAACTGATCCTTATCTACGTAGTTTTTTTGACGACGAAGAAAAAAAAAGCTTCTTAAGTGATTAGGCTTTTCCAGAAAATCTTTTGTTGATCTGATCCTTTTCTTATATAGGCGTAAAATAAAATTTTAAGAAGAAATAGCTGGTAGGACTAAAAAACAAATAAAAAAGAAATGTCTGAAGGGAAAAAAATAATACACATTTTAAGTTTTTTTTTTTCATTTTTTAGTGCAGTCTTCAAATATTCTAATTATTAATGACCGATAAATAAAAGTCGTGCTAGCTTACAAATTTGCCTGCAGTAGCTGCTTTTTATTTTCTTTTTGAAATATTCAATTAAGTTTGTCGCTGATCCCAATTGTGATGATTTTTGAGGATGAACATAATGATGATATGATAGTTTTCTTTCATAGGCCTTCGATAACGCTTTTTCACTTAAAAAAGATATTATCATTGATGAAATAAATTTTTTCTGTATAGTTTTCACTTTTTGTAGGTAATAATTACGCAGTTCTTCACAAATACTTAAACTAAGATCATGCTTTTTTTTCTTGGATTAAAAAGAATTACGATTTCTTTTTCTACTAATGTAAGAAGAAAAAAAAATAATTTCCTTTTCTCTTCAGTTCTCATTTATATGACGGATGATCATGTCTTCATTAACAACAGAAAAGTCATCATGTTCTGCACAATGTCATGTATCACGTAATAAACTTTGTGAAAGTGGTGAACAAAATTATTCTATTAATCATTCAATAAAACATCAAGAAAAATTAAGAAAACAAATGGAAAAAGTTAATATATATCATAACCAAATTCGACAATTAGTTATTGATGATAAAAAAAAATTTTCTAATCATCCACTTATGAAAAAAGTTGATGATTGGGAACGACAATCAATTCTTAAAATTCAACAAACAGCTAATGATATTCGCGAACAATTAAAACAAGTTTGTACGAAACATACAATTGAAATGAATGAATTATTGACAGAAATAAGTCAACAATTAAATAAAGCTCGTACACAAAATAATTATATTGAAACTGATATTAAATTTTGGTTCAATAAACTAAATGAATTTAAAAATGATCTTCTAACACCTAAAACAATAAATATAATACCAGATGAAAATAATAATTCATTTATAAATAAAATAAAACTTTCGCAAATATCACTCGATACATTTCATCGAGCTGTTGGTGATATTCAAGCAACAAATAATGGTTTTACTTTAATTCATGGTCCATCAAATGGTGATGCAACAATTCGTGGAAAAAAAGAATATTATTCTGGTACACATATATTTCGTTTTCAAATTGAAAAATTAGGTATACCAAAATGGGTATTTTTTGGTATTATATCAAAAAATATTCCTTCACAAGCAAATTTATATAAAACTCCAACTGTATATGGTTGGGCAGGACATCATCAAGTTTGGCTTAATGGTGTTCATCATCATCAACATAATGGTTATATATGTGAATTTGATTGTGAAGGAATATTTTTTGATATAATACCAAAAAA